TGTGTATTGTTCATGACCTCCACCATGAAATACAGGCGAAGATTTTATAATACAAGAATATATTTGCTATGAAAAAAATTATCATGGTATTTTAGTAGTAGGTGTGGTATTTTACCACACATTTTTATTGAAATAAAGCGTGACCCAATTAAGTGTAGATTTTACGTACTATGCACTCGTGTATGACGTATTTGTCGGACAAAAATCAAATGTAATTCCAATTTGTCCCAATTTTGTTATCTGCTATGTCCCAGTATATGTTAATGCATGTGAAAATGTCCCAATTTAATTTCATATTCAAGGTTTTTTCAATTATCGTGTTTACGCATAAAATTAGGTGATTTAAATATTTTTTTCTAGTAACTTGTTTAAATAATATTATTTTTCATTACAATGAAAAAAAAATGTTCAAAACGTATTGATTGATTTTATATTAATGTTAGTTGTTAGTGGAAGATAGAGAAAGAGCGAAATAGAGAGAGGCGCGTAGTATGAAATACATGCTTCGCTGCAGCACTGCACTTTATTAACGATTTCGGCAGATTATATGTTTTCCACGATCCCTGAATCCTTTCTCGAATCACGAAACCTTTAAATTAAAAAAAAAACAACCGCGCTCGAGAATGTCCAGATATCGTTTTTTTGCAACTTTGCAACCCTACAAGTCCCTTACGTCATGCTCAAATCGTCAAATTATTAAAATACCCACTTTTCAGCATGTAATTAAACCATCATACCTTAATCTGACGCGCTCGAGTATTTCCGCCTATCGATTTTATTTTACTATTCTGATCGGCTAGTCTACGTGCACGGCACTACAAGGAGAACTCAGATTTGGTAGAGGTACTCAACTAGATGTAAGGGATCTTCCCATATATTAATCTGCCGCGCTCGAGTACCCTATTACAAGGATTTTATTGTATTACTTAATTTGATGTGGGTACCTATCGTTGACTATATTATTTATGCTATTCGTCATAAGATTGGAGAATATTTTCAACATTTGTTAGCTTACAAGTCATTGTGTACTATTCACATACACAGTCTCCTAATTATAGGCTGTTATAATTCGAAAATAGGCACTTTCTGTTTGTTTAGCCTAAAAATTTAACAGATTAGTTGATGCATCTAAAAATACCAAAAATTAGATATTTTCGCTTCCTTTCCTGTATATCCCCTTGAGGCTATAGTCTGTTCATCCTACCTTGTCCTATTTAGTAAAGATTCTTGGCACTCTTTTTTATAGAAAATGCAGTATTAAAAATCACCTGATAACTAGATTCAATAGGTTACAGTCTATAATAACGATTTATTAGAATACATTATTGACTTTGTTATTATTTTATTTTTAAATGGGTGATTTTGTTAAAATTTTGTCAAGATTATTTACCCAATAGGACAAGTTAGAATGAACAGAGTTTACAGTGTTTTTTCCCACTGTACACTTGGCAATAAAACCCAACCAAATTAAACGGACCAATCTCAGAACATCTATAAGCTAGATTCATGATGGATCTTTGTAGATGATGATGATGATAAAAAAACAGTAATGTCAACATCTGACTCGCGCAAAGGTTTCGTACTCATACAAGACATAACAAAGAAGAGCAAAAATCTTAAAAACTATTGGTTATTTGAAAACTTAATAGTAAGATCCCCTTAAATTTAACTTTTAGTTCAATTTTATTATTTACGTATTTACGACAAAATAACTATAATAATATTTTATGAATATTATTGCTGTTTATATACCATATTTCATGAGCAACAAGCCACTACCAGATGGACGGATAGACACATGGACATCGGAGGTTTAAGGTGCTGTCCGACGATCTGTGTTGTCACGAGTGAGGCCGCGCCGCGCAGGGTAGCCAAACTTATGAGAACTCTAACGTTCGAGATTTAGCAGTATCTATACATGATACGAGGTGATTTATACGATGATACGAATAAGGACACAATAGACTGACCCTGGCGACGTACAACGGACGCACGCTACGGCTTGACCCGCATCTAGCGCAACTCGAGGTGGAACTTGGGAAGATTAGGTGGCACATTTTAGGGTTAAGTGAAGTCCGAAGAGAGGGGGAGGACACCATAACGCTCGAATCGGGCCACCTACTGTACTTCCGCGGGGGAGACCAACAGTCCCAAGGTGGCGTTGGGTTTTTGGTAAATAAGTCCCTTGCCGATAACGTTGTGGAAATTTCCAGCGTGTCTAACAGGATAGTGTACCTTATTTATAAAGCTCACCGAGAGGTATAGCCTCAAGATGGTGCAGGTATACGCACCGACCTCGACACACTCGGACGACGAAGTGGAGGATATGTTCGATGATATATCGAGGGCCCTCCACTCCACTACTAAGACCCACTACAACGTTGTTATGGGTGACTTCAACGCTAAAGTGGGAGTACAGAATTGCAGCGAATCGGTAGTAGGATCCCATGGATTTGGAAGCAGAAATCATAGGGGGCAAATGCTCTTCATTTGAATATCAACTTAAAGGCCGAGCGCGCCCGTTTGATGAAATCCAGGCTCCAACCTACTCTGCTCCAATCTATAACAGGATCTGAAACGTTCCAGTCAAATCTGGAGAACCGATTTGCTGCCGTGGAAACCACATCAGACGTAAACTAAAACCTCGAAAGTGTGGTTGGGATCCTCAGGGAAGAGGGTACGAGATTGTGTGCAACGCAGCGTAAGGGCAGGAAGTCGAAGCTTTCGGAAGAGATTTTAGGGCTAATGAGGGAACTAAAAATCCACCCGTCACTTCGTCGGCAAAGCGGACTCTAAACCAAGAGATCAGTAAGCACGTACAACACGACCTCCGGTGCTCCAATACTCTCTCGATCGAGAGAGCGATCGAGCAGAATCGAGGATCCAAAGTGTTCGTATAATCTCTTGGAAGAAGCCATCTGACGAAGTTGACCACAGCAAGTGGGGAAGTTGTTGCTTCAAAGCCGGCAGTCCTTTCGGAAGTGGAAGACTTCTACAGCCAGTTGTACGCATCACATGCATTTCGACCCGATTCCGGAAATGAGGATTCTAGAGCCACATTAACACGCCACTTCACCGAAGATCTGCCAGAAGTCAGTATTGGCGAAATCGAGATTGCCCTTAGACAGCTTAAAAATGGAAAAGCCCCTGGAGAGGATGGTGTTACAACATTGCAGTTAGGTAGAAACAACTTTGAGGACGAGGTGAATAGAAGAATTCAGCTAGGTTGGGCAGCGTTTGGGAAGTTACGTCAAGTCCTGACATCGTCGATCCCACAGTGCCTCAAGACGAAAGCCTTCAATCAGTGCGTCCTACCTGTGATGACATACGGAGCCGAGACGTGGACACTGACGGTACGGCTGGTCCACAGGTTCAAAGTCGCTCAGCGCGCTATGGAAAGGGCTATGCTCGGCGTTTCTCTGAAGAATCGCATCAGAAATGAGGTAATCCGACAGAGAACCAGAGTTATCGGCATAGCCCACCGGATTAGCAAGTTGAAGTGGCAGTGGGCTGGCCATATTTGTCGAAGAACCGATAACCGTTGGGGTAGACGAGTTCTGGAGTGGAGACCGCGTCTAGGCAAACGTAGTGTAGGACGTCCTCAGGCGCGATGGAGTGACGATTTGCGCAAGGTGGCTGGCAGGAGCTGGATGTGAGTAGCCCAAGATCGATCTGAGTGGCGTGTATTTGGAGAGGCCTATGTCCAGCAGTGGACTAAGATAGGCTGTTGATGATGATGACGAATAAGGATGCATCTAGCAATTAGCATAATGAAACCTGGACTTACTGAGATGATCCTTTGTGGACTGGACATTTATTTACTTTCTGATAACATTTTTGGTTAGTGTACATGACATAAACAGTCAACATTATTCAAATCTCATATCAAAGTATACGAGATTTCTATTTACCTCGTATCATGTATATGTATAGAATCTGCTTAATCTTAAACGTTACAGTTCTTATACGCTTGGCAACCCTGCGCGGCGCGTGCTCGCCCGCGACAACATAGGTCGTGGGATAGCACCTTTAGCATAGAATATATAAAAATATACAACCCTAAAATAACACTGATTATTATATTCTTATTCTGCTAACGTGTTCTCGGTAGCATAATTGGTTAGTGCATCTACCCAGATAGCTGCTGCTAACAGGTTCAAATCCCGTCTGAATTTTTTTCATAACATCATTGATTGAGATTGAAAAGCTTAAATTAGTTATAAGGAATCATTTCTGCAGCATTTTATCTAGTTCATTTTATCGTCTTTGATGTGAGGTGCTTAATATAGTGATTTATGGACTTCTTTCTTAAAATGATATTTACGACTTCAAATCCAATGAAATGTCAAGGCTTACATGTATTTTTGTAATAAGGTAAACACTCGTAAATATTATACCAACGGTTTACTGTGATATTTATATGATAGACATAACTGCTAGTAATCATATCAATATTACAGTGTTTTAATTAAATGATCTAATAAATTAAACATTTGAAAATAAAAAGAATCGACTCCTCCTGCTCAGCATTATAACGTAAGCTGTATCCTAAAAATAAAATAATAGAAATCAGACTAACATTATAAAGGCGAAAGTTTGTGAGTGTGTGTATGTTTGTTACTTCTTCACGTCTTAACAGCTGGAGTGGTGTTACTTAAATTGGTATGGAGTTAGCTGACACCCTGTATTAACACGTAGGCTACGTTTTACTGCGAGAAAATATCCCTAATAAACTGCGGGTAACACCGCGGGGCACAGCTAGTCTAATATAAGATATAGCATAGCATGCGCTAGCAGTACCTAAGTTGCGGCATTAATAAAAAATATTAATGAATATAATGTTTTGTTATGTTTTAATACAAATAGTCATTATATAAAATTTACAATATAGGTATGTATAAACAAACAACAATCACTAGTTAATAATAAGAATAATAAATTAAATTAGGTATAAATTACACCATTAATATTTTACCAGAAAGTTTACAAGTAAAACTCACCACATTGTCGATGTTTAATCGCACACGAGCGTGTTGGTCCTTTTTTCGACATTTCATTTTCGTTCAATTCTCTTTTGCAACACAATCTTTACAACACAATAATATCTACGAGTGCAAATATAATTCCAAACTAATTTATTATCGCAACAGTATTGCTCTGACCGTTTTATTTAAATTTAAAATTTGCTCATTTCTATGTTCTTTTTTCTTATGTATCAGGTTTAACTATTCGGGACATGCTTATTGCTTTTCAATACGTTTTCCATTTGTATTTCTGGCATTGTTCATGTTTAGTAAAATAAATTAGATGTTTTTTCCACATCGCAACGGAGAACGAATTTATCGGAATTTATACGCGCGCTCGATCCACGTAGTAAAACAGAAGACTAATATATCGATCGAAAGCAGAGAAGCTCATACTACAAGAAGTGTTATTTTTAACATGGTGATTTCAGTTTGTTTATCACTATGATCCGTATTTTGATGGGGCGATGACTGCAATGCGCTTTGAAAAGGTTCTCCCGATGATGGAATGGATCTCGTGAATTCTTTTGTTACTGTGATTGATTACCTATATATATTATGTTGTTTAAATTTTGTTCAATCTATTTGGAACATTTTAAGGTTTTATTGAATATTGTTATACGTAGTAAAGTCCTAGTTCTAGGTTTTTTTTAGCCAGTTTAGCAAATGACTCTACCCCTCCTGATGTTAAGTGGTGATAAATTCCAAACGCGAAGATAGCTGGTACAGCAGTTATAAACTTCTTAATTTTACAAAGACAAAGAAACAAAAACTCTTTTGTGTTTGTTAATTAAGTATTACCTAGTGTGTCAATTTGGTTTTAAACTTGTCTCATGGGGTTTATAAAAAAATACTGAACAGTGTAGTAGTGTAGCTGTTAATTATAGCCGTGCAGATAGTAAAATTAAACAGTCTCGTTCGAGTTAGTGTCGTACAAGATTTAACAATTAGTGAATGAAGTCATTATTTGTACTAAAAAGGTGCAAGTAAAACTATTAATATCGTTAAAAAAATGTCCGTCCTCGGCTGGGAATTGAACCCGGGCCAGCACTGCTAGCGCGTGTTTTCTACCACTGAGCCACGGTTAAAACGGATGAGTTTGTTGAAAAGGTCTGGTTAAGAATCAGATTGACATTTTGTATACTAGATGGCAGGAATAGTCCATTGAATCGCGCTATCGTTTTGTTTTGTTTGAAATATAAGTATTTTACGGAGAAGTAGTATGCTCTGTGAAGAGCCGCACGGTGTATGTGTTTCGTTTTTTTCGTTTCGTTTCAGTTCTCCTCGTGTCGCGTTCGTGGTAGGTCGTGTGACTCCGCTCGTCGTTGAGCCCGCCTGCCCCACTGTGCCGAGTGCAGAACCGAAACTACCCTCCTCCGCGTTCGCGTGTGAGGTCGCCGTACGATCACCAAACAAATTCTATCTTTTTTCTGTGTTGCGATATTGACGCCTAAGTGTTTGTGTAGTGTTTTTGTTTCGTGATCGTTGAATCACTTGTGTTTTTAGTGCTAAAAACTACAAGTGTTTCCCCTGTGTTTTTTTCGTTCCCACCCTCCAATCCACTTTTTTCATAACTACCCTCCCACCTTTTTTTCTCTTTCTTTTTCTGTCCTTGTCCCACATTAACTTTTCACTCCTACCCACCCTAACTTTTTTTTTTTTCGTTTCTACCCACCGGACTTCTGTGTCATTTTTTTTTTTCGAAAATGCCACCGAAACCGCTTCCACAACGGAAGCCTCCGGATCCACGTCCACGTCCCGCCACTGGCAGGGCTGCGGTCCCACCCGCGCCCGCCCCCCGAATGGTGCAGACCGCGCCACCCACCGCTCGCCAGCCCCCCAGACTGGAGGCGAGCACACCGAAGCCGAGCGCGGACCCGGCGCGCATGGAAGGTGCTGATGACCAGCCCCGACCCTGCCCCGCCCCGGCCACCGCTCACCCCCGTGACCCACGCAGACGCCAACCTGATGACGATGAGGCCGCCGGAGGCGATGAAAAGCGCCCCAGGCACGGCCCCTCGCCACCCCAGCGAGCCACCGCGCCCGCACCCAGCACCAGCGGGACATATGTCCCACCCCCTCAGAGGCGTCCAGCCTCCTCATCATCTACATCTGCCGACACCGAGTCAGAATCTGACTCAGAAATCGAACTTGCCGGTGGGATGGAAGGGCCCAGCAGCCCTCTCCCGCCCCAGCAATTAGATAACACAGCCAGCACCATCTATTGCCAAGTGCAACCACTCGACGAGAGTGACGGCGCGCACGCGAGGTCCTACGCCCAGGCCGTAACGATCCGTGCGACGCCTCCTCCGTCTCCCCATACACCACCAGCCACCGCAAGACCCACCACTAGAGGGTACCCACCAATAGTAGTGGAGAGACTGCCGAACTGGCCGCTCCACTTTAGGAAGCTGAAAGATATACTTGGCCATACCCCAAACGCGCGCCCCTTCAGCACGGGCGTGCGATTCTCACCTAAAAGTGAGAACGAGTTCAGACTAACCCAGAGGTATTTGGTGGAAGCCTCAACAGCTAACACAGAAATTGTTTGGTACTGCTATGCCCCCCAGACAGACCTACCTACCAAGGTAGCTATACGAGGCATTCCGGCGGACACCGACCCCCTGGCCATCACTGGAGGAAAGGGGCTTCCCGGTATCCTTCGTGAGAAGCATCCGAGGGAAGAGAGGCCGCCCGGGTTGCATTTACCACGCCCAGTTAGAGCACCTCCCCCAAGAAGAGCTCGCTCGCCTATATTCCACCGACGAACTCCTGGGCATGCCAGGGGTGACAATAGAAGCCTGGAAGCCAAGGGCTGGACCAGCACAGTGTCACCGCTGCCAGGCCTTCGGACACAGTTCGCTGAACTGCCACCGGCCCAAAAAATGTGTCAGATGCGCAGGAGACCACTCCGCAGCCGACTGCCCACGCTCCGAGTCCACTCCCCCAAGCTGCGCCAACTGTGGGAAGAGCCACGCTGCCAACGACAGGCGGTGCAAAGTGTTCCTGGCAGCAGCGCGCCGCTCCAATCAACGCGTCCAACCCCCCATCCCAGGAGGAGTGCCCCACCCAGGGCAACAGCCACCCAGCACCAGGGAACCTCACCAGCCCCCTCCAGTGAACACACTTGAAACCCAAGCGGGACCAACCCTGGCCCCCCCCGCCAATCCGCCTACCACCAGAGGAGTGCCAACCTCCTCCAGGAGGAGAAGAAGAAGAGGAGGAAGAAGGAGACCGCAAGCGGCAGAAGAGCCTAACGCTCCCTCCGCCCCGACCTCCCTTCCCCCCCCCGCACCCATTACCCAGCAGGGTTTTCCCCAAGGGGGAGGCCCACAGTCCGCCACCACTCCAACAGCCTCATTTCGCCCAGTGAGAGCTGCTCCCCAATGGACGGGACCTCCCCCTCCCCCCCCCTCCGATGTCGGAAACACACCAGCCGACCACACGGCCCAGAGGCCCCCAAGCTTTTCCCTCCCGTCGACCCCAAGTGGTCCAACATGCCAGGCCGCCTCCCAGACCGGCATTCCATCCTCCCCCTCCCCCACCGCAACAGGCACCGCTCCAACAAGCAGCCACCATTCCGCCCCCCAGGGTTCACCACCAATTCCACCCACAACCCACTCCCCTCCCCCAGCTTCCAATGCAGGCGGTGCTGACCATTCTATACCGCCTTTTGGAGGACATCAGCAGGGGAGCAGACCCAACCCAGGCCGTACTGAGGGCACTGACCTGGTTGCTCCAGGGTGCCCACAACGGAAACAATTAAGGATCATATATTGGAACCCAGGAGGCATAAGAAGACACATGGACGAGCTTCGCCTCATTGCCACCCAGCAAGACGTCCACGTCATCCTCCTGGGAGAAACCCTCCTGACCCCGAAGCACAAACTGAAGCTGCCTAACTTTACAACCTACCGCCGTGACGAACAAACTCCGGACGGGATCGCCTACAGGGGCACAGCAGCCCTGATTAGAAGAGACATCTTCCATGTCGAACTCCCATGGGCCCCATTCATTTCTACTCGTACAATAGGAGTCCGCACCAGGGCAGGCGACAAGGAGCTGAAGATTTACGCGGCCTACAAGCCCCCCCAGACTCAAATCCAGGAGACGGATCTGGACGCCATCTTCTCTGACGATGTCCCCACAATACTGGCTGGCGACCTTAACTGTAAGCACAGCGCGTGGGGCTCGCTGAAGACCAATCACGAGGGCCGCAAATTATACAACGTAGCCGAAAACAGAAACATAGAGGTGGTAGGGCCGCCGGACGCAACCCACATTCCGGCCGACCCCCGCAGCAGTCCGGATACAATTGACATCGCCCTACTTAAAAACATTTCCTCACCGGTAAGCGTCGAGGTACTATACTCGACGAGCACGCAGCACTTACCGTTACTCATATGCCTAAATCTGGACCCTAATGCAGTGCCGCCGGCCCCTCCCAGGTACAAGACAGACTGGGAGGCTTATACCAGAGACCTGAGCGATTACAAGCTGCCCCACCCGCTTAGCACCCAACTTGGCATTGATAACAATATCGGTCACCTCGTCCAGGCGATGAGAGAAGCCAAGGAGAGGCACACCACCCGGACCACCACCCAGCGAAGGGACCCTCTTCCCCTTCCACTCCAGAGAAAGATGGCAGAAAAGAAGAGAGTCAAGAAACTCTGGGCCATCACTCGCTGCCCCATTGTCAAAACTAGACTGAACCGAATCACTACCGAAGTAGCGTCAGGAGTACAACAATGGAGGGGAGACTCCTGGAACGCCACCATCTCCAAGGCCACAGACTCCAAACCCAGGCTCTATAAACTGCTGAGAGGCCTAACCAAACAAGCCCAGCCAGTCTGCCCGCTGCTGGATGAAAATAATAGTAGCCGCTACGCAGCCCTGGACCGTGCCAACCTATTTGCAGACCACCTTCAGATCCAGTTCACCCCGCACCCAGCCGCCCAGGAGGTTGCCGAGCACCACCGGAAAATTGAAGAGGAAGCAACAGCCTTCCTTAGTGCGGTCCACCCTCGCCTCTCGGGCGACAGCTTCATTTCACCGTCCGAGGTTCACAAAGTGGCTGTCCGGCTTAACCCAAAGAAGGCGCCGGGCCCGGACTGCCTCCCTTCTTCCGCCCTAGCAGCCCTTCCGCGAAGAGGCGTAGCCGCTTGGGCCCAAATATTTAATGCGGCAATGAGATGCAGCTACTTCCCGGGCGCCTGGAAAACGGGACGGGTCATAATGATCCCGAAACCTGGAAAAGACCGCAGACGCCCGGGCAACTACCGTCCCATAACACTGCTCGACCACGTGGGGAAGCTGTTCGAGCGCTTAATTCTTCGCAGACTGCAGC